CGCGGTATTCAAATCGGCGGCGCGCCGACTGCTGTTGTTCTGACCGAGCTGCGGGCTGGACCGCGGCAGGTAGCGTTACCTTCGCCGCCATGCGCCGCGCCCGGCGCTGACAGACCTCCACCCTGGTGGGCGGAAGGGATGGAGAACCCGAGTGTGCCTCCTGGGCCTTATCGGGCCACCAAGCTGGTAAGACGGCGCGGAGCGACGAGACGGGGGGGTGGTCGCCGCCGCTTTTATGTGACAACGTTCGTGATTTTACCTGGGGCGGGGGGGTGCTCCCAGAGCCTCTGGGTTCGCTGAAAAGGAGATGGAAAGGAATTGAGGGCAATCGTGGAGCCCCCTCTTTTGCTCCGGGCTCCCCGCGAAGGTGCCTCGTACTCACGCCTTGCTAGGGGCTCCTGGCCCTGGTGTCGTCGGCGCCCCCGGACGGCCGAGTGCAGCCGCTCCCCACGCCTGATCTCCTGTGTCCACGGGACTCGAGGAGGATTCCAGTGCGTGTCATTGCTTTGTAGGGTCAGAGCGGGGACAGGCCCGAGCGGGACAGGTTCGTTTTGCTGGCTCTGTAGAACGCCATGCAGGATGTACGAGCTGCGTTCCCCTGGGGAACAGCTGGCCGTCCCCAAACTGATAAACCCGGGGTTTCAGGAACGCTGTTGGCGAACCACTGGGTTTGTACTCGCACACTTGGATCTTCAGCCCCAGAGGATCCTGTGCCACTGGCTATGTGACTTTGAGAGAGTCACTTAACTTCCGTGAGACTCGGTGTCCGCGGGAAGGTGGGCCTGTTAATACTGGCCCACCCTGAGAGATTTCTGGAGAGGGCAAGTATGCGAACGTGTGTGGTGATATGTACAGTAAGAATCAACTTATCCAGAGTGTTTCTTGAATAAATTAAATGTGAAATGTGGCGGTGTGGGAAGAAAATAATTCAGATATCGTGCGGTTAAATTTTGCGTTGTGATTTTGGGGCCCTGTAGGTTAGATAAGTGGTAACAGTGGCTTAGCTGGGGCTACAAGTCAGATTTGTTGACCTCTAATGTAGGACTTTTCAAATAAAAGGTGTGTGTTTGGTCTACACCACCACCCACCTTTATTATCCACTGTTAGAGCTGCCACAAACCTAAAAGTTTGGATGATTTGAGAACAGTTTGGAAAATGTGTCTTTTAAAAATTTAGATATATCACAGTGTCATAAAATACACAATGGACTTAAAATTTACTTAATTTACCCCCATCTGTTCTATGTTCACTATTGGAATCTTCACATAAAAATACTATAGTAAGTATATAAGCTGTTTTAATATTAAAGGTATTTTATCAGTGAAACAACTGCCTGCCATGAATTTTGTTTGTGGCCAGCATAGTAGTTACAAGTTCAGATGCTAGAGTCAATCAAACCTGGGTTCGAATGCCTGGGTTCGTCACTGAGCTGTGTGACCTTGGTCAAATTATTAAATCTCTCTGTGCTTCGTAATCCTCATCTGAAATTGGGATAATAATATTCATGGAATTGTGAGAATTAAAGTGAAATAATAAATGTAAGCATAGTGTTTAACACAAATGCTACCACCATATTTTTAATGTAAGTCGAGATTTAAAAAACAAACAAACACAGGAATGAGTGCAGTTCATTATTCCTAGGTTTCCTAAATAAGCCAACCAGCCAATGAAGTACTTTTAGTCAAAAAACTTACGTATTTTCACAATAGTAGAATTAATTAAAATAAATCAGTATGAGTTACCAAATTTTCTGTAGCACAAATCAAGTGATTGATTTCTTCATGAAATTTTATGATGTAATCAGATGTAAATAAAAGAATTTTTGTTGTTTAATTTATTTCAAATCAGTGAGAGATTTCATTTTTGTTAATTTTTTTATATTTTACTTCTTTTGCAGTGGAATGAACTTACCACATCTTTTCGAGCAGGAATGCCTCTAAGAAAACACAGGCAACACTTTAAAAAATATGGCAATTGTTTTACAGCAGGAGAAGCAGTGGATTGGCTTTATGACCTATTAAGAAATAATAGTAATTTTGGTCCTGAAGTAACAAGGCAACAGACTATCCAACTATTGAGAAAATTTCTTAAGAATCATGTAATTGAAGATATCAAAGGCAGATGGGGATCAGAAAATCTTTATGACAACAGTCAGCTATTCAGGTACTGAACAAAGATAACTGGAAAACTGATATAACAAAGTTTAACTCCACTTCTATTATACTTTTACTAAAACAGCAGCTTCTTTAGAAGTAGTATTTTCTGTAGAGAACTGTTACTGCTCTTAATCTAATTAAGATCATTTAGAAGTTAAAGTTAATAGCTGCACCATTCAAACTTTTAAAACATTTGACAGTATATATAGTAACAGGGAATTGGGAGGTAAGAGTGAGATATTAGCACTTCTGAAATCTCTGCAACATTTTAAAGACAGGTCATTATTAACCTTTAGTTTCATAGATTCAAGAATTATAAGACAAATTGTAACAGGTCCTTGCTTTCAAGTAACATGATCTTATATAATTTAAGAATACTTGTGATAAGTAATAGCAAACTTTATATAATAAATAACAGAAGAAATATACCACAGGTTAAAGAGAATAATTATTAAGTATTTATTGTGTATCAGAGACCCTGCTTTGTGACTTACATGTTGTCTTATTTAATCTCTATCATAGCTAAGAAGGGTAGGTATTAGCTCCTTTTTACAGATGAAGAAGCTGAGACCATGCTCTAACAAATCATGTCCTCTCTGTCTGAAATATGTTCTTCCACCTTGAAACACTATACCCACTTATCAGACTAGTAAATGCATTTCTTCTCATATCAGCTCTACTAGCATCTTCTGTGGAGCCTTGCTGAGTCTCTCAGACCACATAATTGCTTTTTCTCTCATGCACCAGGATTCTTTGTTATATTCCCATTAACTAGACCTTTGGAGTCTAATATCCCTGCTTTTTTTCTCTACAGAATTAGTACTTTTCAAATGGAATATCTTAGAAATTGATTCTTGCCTATTTATCGAAGATGACTTATGCCATACAAGTAAACTACAATAACTGGCATATAAACTGTTCATTTTGTATAACACTCTAGAAATCTTTCCTCTCTTAATTACTCCTTAGTCACCTTGGTGGGCTCCTCTGCTGATGCTTCTCCTTTAGCTGTTACTGGTTTGCAAGGCCCTAGACTTTTCTTCACTTACCCCCTCTCTCCCTGGGTAATGTTATGCTGTCTTCACCTACTTTTCTCCTGATTTGCAAACCTCCAAAATCTCTCTCCTGAGCTCTAGACACATTTTTTTTGCCTATTATATAGGCACTTCAAATGTAGCATATAGAAAATCACTATCATCCCTTAAACTAAATTTTGTCTTATATTCATATCTGAATGAAGGGCACTGTCTTCCCTGTAGATGCCTTGACTCTCCCTTTCTTCTCCCCTTTAATTATGACTTAATTATCAAACCATTTTTATTGTGCCGCTTCAGTAGTTCTCTGATCTGTCCACTTCTCTCTCCACTAAAATTGTTCTTTTTGTTTGACCATTATTCTCTCTTGCCTGGAATTCAGCATAACTCTTCAACTAGTCCCTCTGCCCCTAGTCTTTTACAATAGTAACTATAAAGTATATAAAAATAAAGTTTACCAAAATGTATAAGACCTTACTGGGGGAAATTATAAAACTGAAGGTAATAAATGGGGAAGGGTGTCCTCTTTGTGAAAGAGAGGACAGTATCATAAATAGCCACTTCTTCCCAAATTGATAAATTCAGTGCATTTTTATTCAAAATCCCTATATAATTTTTTGTTGTTGAATTTGGCAAGCAGATTCTAAAGTTTATTTAGTGGTGTAAAGTTCCAAGGCAATTTTGAAGAACAAGGAGGGCAGAATTGCCTTAACCTGATATCTGTGTTTAAATTAAATTAAAACAATTAAGTACTGAGAATACAAACCCATACATATATGGGAACGTGGTATAACTTATACAAGAATTGAATAACTATATATGAAAATACAACTCTTATGAGATAAGAATATTTTTAGAATGGAGGAATAAGAAAGAACTTTTAAGGTGACTGAAAACTTAGACATAAATTTAATGAATGATAAAAGACATCATTGAAAAAAACACCAAACCATATATTGTTTTTATATGTTTATTAAAAGTATAAAAACATGAACAAGAAAGAAATACACTAACTATAGGTTAATGATTTCCCTTAGGNCACCAAACCATATATTGTTTTTATATGTTAAAAGTATAAAAACATGAACAAGAAAGAAATACACTAACTATAGGTTAATGATTTCCCTTAGGAAGAGAGAAATAGAATAAGCAAAGAGGTTTTTTAATTAAAAAAAAAGATAATGAAATATTTGGTAAAATGTTAATTGCATTGGTTGATACATCGATGTTTTATAGTTTCTTACTTTTTTGTATCTTTGAAATATTTATATTAAAATGAAAGGAAAAAACTTTATAATGAAAAAAAAGTAACAGAGACCAAGTCCTGGAAATTAGAATAATCACAGTCAGAGGGCAAAAAACACATACAAATTAGATAACTTGGGAAAAAATTAGAAAATTTAACATTCTAAACCATTTTATGTGTAAATGATACGCCTCCAACATAATTGATTCTAATAATAACCTTGAATTATCCAGAAATAAACTTAAAATAGGCACAGTGTACTAAAGAAAGCAGGAAACTATTAAAATAATTTTAAAGGTTTAATGGGAAAATCAATTTGTGTAGAATTTTCATTCCTCGATAATATAAATTATTTTTATGTGATTTTTAAGATTAATAGGCACTAAAAGTTTGTTTCTAATCTCACATTATTTAATTGCATATTATCCTTAAACAGATTTCCTGCAAATTCTCCACTTAAAACTCTTCCACGAAGGCATCCAGAAATGAGAAAAAACAGCATAGAGAACTTTTCGAAAGATAAAGATAGTATTTTCAAATTACGAAACTTATCTCGTAGAACTCCTAAAAAGAATGGATTACAATTCTCTCAGGTAAAACATCCTTTTTACTAATCATTAGTTTAAATGTAATTACCCTGTGCTTAATAATAGAATCATTAAAAGTAAATGATTCCTTAATATTTGAAGCCAGTGCTTGAAACTCTTAACCTACATTATATTCTAAAATTGTATGTGTAAGTTCATTTGGAATCCATAGAACAGTAATAAAAAATGGTAGCAAGACATACTTGAAATAGTAATTGTATAATTCAAGCATATGTTTTATTGTAAATTTATTTGAGGATGATAGGGACAGCTGCAAAACCAAAGGCTTTATGTTACATTATTTATTCAGGCTCCATACAGAGTTGGTGTCAGTTCAGTATTTCCTTAATTTGAGCATAACATATTAAACCAAAGTAATTCTTTTTTTAGGAAAGTACAGAAAACATGAACTGTGAAGTAATCAATGAAGATCAAGAAAACTCAGTTGATAATAGAGAAATCAGCCAGAAAGATGTTGAAGAAGTTTGGAGATATATTATTCTGATCTAGTAAGCTAAAACAAAGCTGTAACCAAGTTCCACAGATGTTTAGAGTGTTAATTTGCCATTTTCATCCATATATGCAAACTCAAAAGAACAGTTTAGTTCTCAAAGCTTAGAATTTAACCTGTATATGTGTTTCTTAATGTTCTTGCTGTAATTCTAGTATAGTAGAAATAGAATGTTTTCAGTATGATTTGCTTTTTTTTTTTTTTTTTAATAAAGTAGCTATAGTTTGGTGTCTATATTGGAATCCTTCAAAAGTTAATAAGATAAATATATTTAAAAGTAGATGCTAAATATAAGTCTTTGAAGTTTGGTTTCAGAAAAAAGGAAAAACAATACTCTCAGGGCTTTGCCAAATTCTTTCATACTTATATTCTATTCCACTTATTTTATGGAGGAAAAAAGTTTATATTCTTTCTTCTATTTAGCCTGCAAACCATTTTAGGTGTGTCATCCCTAGAAGAAGTCATAAATCCAAAACAAGTGATTCCTCAATATATAATGTACAACATGACCAATACAAGTAAACATGGAGTAGTTATATTACAAGACAAATCAGGTTGGTATTAATAAAAGAAGTTGGAATCTTTTTAAACTGGCTAACAAAGGTTATAGCTATTGTTGGGGTGCACAGAGACTACAATGTAGAAAGCAGAATAATTTAATTGGGAGAGCATCAGGGACACACACTATTGCTTTATCGCAGGTGCTTTAGCAGTATCACAGTGGAATATTTTTTAAGCAAATAGCACACATAATATTTTAGCTCTTAAGGTAGAGTCATGATTTTTTAAAAATGTCAGGGTTAAACATCTAAAAAAAGGTATGCAAATATAATTAAAACTATTGATTAATCACATTTTATTGAAGACCTATAATGTGCCAGGCATTGTGCTCAAGATTTAGTGATGTACAAGAGGGAAATGGGCATGCCTTCCCGGAGCTTACATGAGTAGTTATTTACAGATTTAAAGGGGTTAAGACATACATGCAAAAATGAAGTAACACAATAAAGTAAGCCCAGCCTCTCAACACTAGTATTCTAAAGCACACTGGCTTTGTATTATATATATATACATGTACATTTTCTTATATTATATTTTATATATAATGTATTGATTTTCAGATATAAGATAGGAAATTCAAGGAAATAAGCCAGATACATTAGAAAACTTAGATTACAAGAAATATGTCAATAAATCGACTCAAAATTTTCTTTTTTTTTTACCCCCCCATTCCTCATGGGAGGATGTATTTATGGATTTGAGAGAGAGAGAATCATCGATGTAAGAAGGAAACATCAATTGGTTGCCTCCATTACACACCCCCACAGGGGATTGAACACGAAACCTAGGTATGTGCCCTTACCGGGAGCCAGACCTGTCACCTTCCAGTGTGAGGGATTATATTCCAACCAACTGAGCCACCCTGCCAGGGCTTCAGTTATTTTTTTTTTTAATAATCAATTGTTATTATATGTATGGAATTAATTGGCATGCGTTACTTTGAGTTTCTTTTTGTGTGCAAGAACTTAGGTTTAATTGTAGGAACAAATAGTAAATGTCAGAACTTAAGAGTTATGTTGTATATGCATTTCGCTTTGGACCATTCCCATGGTTCATTACGTAAAATAACAGTATATGCTCTCTAAGCTTACTGTTCTTTATAACCATAAACTTTTCAAGTCAAGTATTAGTATCAAAAAACTGCTAGGTTTTATGCAGCATATTTCAGTTAGTGACAATTAAAAGATTTGAAGCAGGCCTCACTGTGAAAGCACACTTAATATTCAAATATACCTTATTTCAATCACAGGTCTCACTCAGATAAGTAATATTCAAATAGCAATAGCTATAGTCAGAACAGAAATGAGAATAAAGAAAAGACAGTGGTAGTGGTTAGAGATGAATGTTAATTTATATCCTAACCACCTCCCATAAAATAATCCTTGATCTTGGGATAGCTAATTGTTTTATCGTGGCACCAAACTCAAGATCTCTCTAACTTTTTAAACTTGTATTGTAAAATATTGCCTTGGCCTTCTGTCTCGTTAAACATAATTTTTAATCTTGGTAATACACATACACATATATAATTATATAATAAGTACTAAGTTTTAAATATACTATCAAAAAATTGTGAATTACTAAACAATGTTAATATTTTGTTTATGTATAGATGATCTTCCTCATTGGGTATTATCTGCCATGAAGTGCCTAGCAAATTGTAAGTTAAACAATTTATATGTGTTTTATATTGGTAGTAGTTTTCAAGAACAGAAAATTTTTTAAATAATGTATTAAAGTCCTGATAAAATTAAAGTATATAATTTCTCTTGATGTTTAAATGACAATCTAGAAGAACTGGTTACATTTCTTTCCATGTGAAGTATATTATAGAGCCCTTAACTTTTTCTATGCAGATGATTCTATAATTCATACCCATAATTTCTGGCTCAGTTCTCATAAATCATAAAATCATAGGCTAGAAGATCTCAAAGGATTTTTAGGTATAATCTACATCAGTAGCCTTAGTAAAGCCCAAAGAATTCAAGTAGCAACTTGTAAGTAAAGCAACTTATAAATGGAAAGTTTCAATCAGAAATAAAGTCTCATTAAGTCCATTTAATACCCCCCTGCCATTGTACACAGCTTCAACATTCAGGTGCTCCATGATATGCTTCTACTCTAGAGAATATACCAGCGATTTTCAACCAGTGCGTCACAAGATTTTTTAAAGCATGCAATACCTGACTATTTAGCCAGGGACATTGACCTCTTTTCCCTTAGAATGTCAGATAAAAAAAATGACAACAGCCAACACAAGAATAGCCATTTAGGTGTGAATGCCCTGTCTTTTACCATAAATACATAGGTCATAGTACAGTTGTGTTTTATTGGTCATGTCACATAATATGGTTGTGTCTGATTGGTTAATTCTTGGTACTAGAAGTCCATATATACAAATATAGGCACCTGATTTTTTTAAAAGTCACTTTGGAGCAAAAAGGATAGGTAATTACTATTATTATTATTATTATTTTTTTTTTTTTTTTTGGTAAATCAAAATTATACCTATAGTTTTTGTCAGATTGGCAAAAAATATATTTTTTGGTGTGCTGCAGAATTTTAGTAATTAGTTTATGTATAGATGAAAAGGATTGGAAATTGCTGGGATATACTAATGGGACTTTTGGGGAAAAAAGATCTGTCACTAATCAGCAAATTACTTTTTAACATTTTCATCAAGCTTTTTTCAGTGATCAGTGATAACTGATTTTTATAATTTAAGACCCCACTCGGGTACAAAACCCTAATTGCTTTCAAAATCAATTTTAAAAATGTACAGAGGTGTGTGATTCTAAATCATCAAAAGTTAAGTTATATTTTAATATTTTGTTGCAAAAGTAGTTTTCTAGTTTTTATAAAATTAGTATTTTATTAATGTTCAAGATAAGTATAAATTCCCTTGTTGTCCACTGGGTGTCAATGTGACAAAATAACAGAACAATAAAGTAAATAATGTAAGTTACAGAAACATTTTATTTATTAAATCGAGGTAAAGATTTTAGTCTTAATCTTAAAATTTTTGAGTTTTCCTTTCTACCTCTCCCCACCTAAATGCACGTCGTCCTCATACCTTGGCTCATGGTTTGCAATTCACATAAGCGCACTTCCGGGGGTTTCTCTGATGCCCCATCTTGTGGGATTTGTGTCTTCCCTTTCTTCCCAGTCCATGTTATACCTAAGTGATATCAAAGATATAATTTACTGAATTTCAGTTTAATGACAATATGTGTAGCCAGAAGAATTAAGACTTTTACTTGTTATTTAATCTCCCACAGTTATCCTGTGACATATAAGATCAGTGATCAGTATACTATTTCTTGTTTTGTGGGGGTTTTTTGATAGAAAGAAAACTAAGACTTATAAAAGTCTTCTAATGCATAAGGAGCTATGTAGTCAAACCTAGATTCTCTAACTATAGATTCTATGTTTTTAATTCCAGTAAAGTATTTTTTCTTAGAAAATTTCTATTATCAATTTTTTAATTCTATATATTAAGAATATTTCTTAGATATTTCTTAGAAAAATGTTTATTTTGCTCTACATAAAGCCCATATTAGCCTTTAAGCTATTAAATGTGTATGTATATGATTTTATATGATTTGTTTTCTTAAATCCTTTTTTAGTGTGTGTACTCACACCTGTGGGGCCATACAAAAGTTTAGAAACAGAAATAAGAGATCATTTGGAATTGGGAAGAGAAAGATTTTAACTTGAAAGATAGCATACTGACTCTCAAATCTGAATGAATGTCACAGTCACTAGGGAATATTTGCCAAAGACTGATTCAGTTGATTAAACATGTCAGGAATCGTCTTTTTTTTTTTTTAAACTATGCCTCAAGATTCTTAGGGCAAAAATAAAAAATGCCCAGATCAGTGTTTGGAAACTACAAGATTAATAAAACAGAAGCAAACATTTCTAGGTCAGTAATTCCAAGCTCCACCTCTATAGATTCTCGTCTGTATAGAGGAGCTTGTATTTTTAATAGGCACATTGATGATTCTGATTGTGTAGTCCATGGACCACACTTTAAATATTGGACCTCAAGATCCTGGGTGTTGCTTTCATATTATACTGCTCTAAGTTCTAATTCTAGCTTTGTCACCAAGGGCTCTTTCATCTTGATCAAGTTACTCTGAGCTTAAGTTTTCTCATCTATAACATGAAACCAGATCTTAGTTCTGATGAAAACACTATGAGAAGACATGGTTATTTCAATAATGTTAAGCTAATGAAACAGAAATGTAAAGATATTATTTAAGCTCATTAAGGTTATGCTTCGTGTCAGGCAAAATTTATTCATGAAAATGTAAATTTGCAAAAGACAATTTGTAGGAATTATTTGTATTATCCAAATATTCTTTGCTTTATGAAATGAATTGTAATAAAATTCCATTAAAGTAAACTTCCCTAATGCTTTTAAAATATATTTCAAATTTTGTTTTATATGTAGTTTTCCGGGCATATAGATATTTTTTAAATGCTAGTAATTGCTTGCAGTGATTTCTACTGAAAAGATAATGAGAAGGAATGATATAAGCACAATCCTTTAAATGTTTGAATTGTGACAGAATTTGTTGTTAAACATAGCTCCTTCATGAAGTACAAGTTTCATACTTTTTATAAGTATATCTAAAAATCTATTTATAAATTTTGCTCTTTTTTTTGCTTTTTCCTTCTTAGGGCCAAGAAGTAATGATATGAATAATCCAACTTATGTTGGATTTGAACGAGATGTATTCAGAACAATTGCAGATTATTTTCTAGATCTCCCTGAACCTCTACTTACTTTTGAATATTATGAATTATTTGTGAACATTTTGGGTATGTATGGACTTTTACCTATTGTTTAAATTTCTTTTGTTAAATTTTTCAAGTCTTCCATAATTTAAAAGATCAAAAAGTATAAGTATTTATGAAGGTAGCAAGTTATAAATTTAAAAAAATAAAATTCAGGAATACTCTGGTTGCTCTTGTATTATTTTCCAGTAATTCAAACATACCATTCCAACACCAATTGGGTGTCCTACAATTCATTTTATTTTTGACACTAACTAGCCTAGACCCCACAAGTTAAGGAAAAAGTCAGATACAAACTACTCATTGTTAGTGCAGACAGAGTCCACAGATTAAGGGCTGAGTTCCACAAGACTGCCCTCCCTTCAGGCACCAGCTGCAAATGCGGTCCTCAGGCTTACTCTCCCCAAACCCCTGGCTAATTACCAGTTCAGGGGTTCACATGACACCCCTCAAGTTTAATAATTTACCACAGGGTCTTAGAACTCTGGAAAGTGTTTTACTTATTGGTTACCAGTGTATTATAAAGGATGCAAGTCTGAAAGAGCCAAATGGAAGAAGATACATAGGTAAGTATGGGCTGTGCAGAGCTTCCATGCCCTCTCCAGAATGCCACCCTCCTAAACACATCCATGTGTTCACCAACCTGTAAGCTTCCCTAAACTTATTGTTTCAGAGTTTTAATTGAGGTTTCTTTACATAGGCAGGATTGATTAATTCATTCATTGGTGGTAATTCAATTGTTGAAATAAATTTTAAAGTTTCTGATAATACAAATTGGAAAACCTCTAGTTAGTCTTGCACTTTGTAACTGAATGTTGCATGTGTCCTATTTAAGTGGCTTCTAAATTCAGCAACTGCTATTTGTACTATACTAACAATATGTACTATAGTGATGCTTTATTTTTTTATCTTTACTATTGTTTTTGTTTTATTTTTGTCCATTGTCATACAGTTGCATCTTAATTTTTGTTTCATTTCCTGGTAGTTGTTTGTGGCTACATCACAATTTCAGATAGACCCAGTGGGATACATAAAATACAAGAAGATCCACAGTCTTCAAAAATCCTTCACTTAAACAGTTTGAATTCCTTCAAATCAACTGAGTGTCTTCTTCTCAGTCTGCTTCATAAAGACAAAAACAAAGAAGAATCAAATACTGCTGAGAGACTGCAGATAAGCGACCATGGATCTCAAGAAAAATGTGTTAAGAAAATGCAGCTAGTTGATTTGCAAAACAGAAGAGCCAGTGCTAATGACATAATAGGAGGAAGCTGTCATAATTTAATAGGCTTAAATAGTATGCATGTTCTATCCTCTAACATAAAACCAAGGTGCTGTTCTTTAGAAGGAATTGTAGATTTGCCAGGGAATTCAAGTAGAGTCTTCAGTGTCTTCCATCAATCTATTCTGAACATAAAAGAACAAAGTAATAGACAATTTTTAGAGACTGAGACCAAACAGGAATCCATAATGAATTTTCATTCAGAGGAAAGCATTCAAAAGCCACTCTGTGTTGGTTTTAAGAGAACTTCTACTATGACTGTTCAAGACCAAGAGGAGTTATATAATGGAAAAAGCAAGTCAAAACAGCTTTGTAGATCTCAGAGTTTACTTTTAAGAAGTAGTACAAGAAGGAATAGTTATATCAATATGCCAGTGGCTGAAATTATCATGAAACCAAATCTTGGACAATGCCGCACAAGTGTGCAAACAGCTATGGAAGGTGAACTCGGAGAGCCTAGTGCCACAATCAATAAAAGACTCTGCAAAAGTACAATAGAACTTTCAGAAAATTCTTTACCTTCAGCTTCTTCTATGTTGACTGGCACACAAAGTAAGGTTGATGCTTTCAGTGCATGTAATATTAACTTTTAGTGTTTACTAACTATTTTTGCTTACCTGGCTTTTCTTCTCTGAAGTCGCTTTTTTCCCCTACAAAAGGAAAGTTTCTTATTGTAAAAGAGTCTTGTGGCATGACCAAGGTTTATCCTGTTTACCTAAAGCACTTTCTTTCTTTCAATTTCACTTATTCTGACTCACTTTATTTGTAGTAAGTGTAGGATGTTAATACCCAAATAAGTTATGAAGAAATTAATAAGAATCTTAATCCTGCTTTTGAGGAATGTGGAAATTTCTAGGACTAGTTAAAAAAATGAAATACTGAAATATTATTTTGCCTTTATATAACCATGTGCCGATAGTATGAAAGCAGCTAATGTCATTGATGATTTTTTTCGGGGGTGGGGACTTTGCCTTCTAGGTTTGCTGCAACCTCATTTAGAGAGGGTTGCCATCAATGCACTACAGTTATGTTGCTTGTTACTTCCCCCACCAAATCGTAGAAAGCTTCAACTTTTAATGCGCATGATTTCTCGAATGAGTCAAAATGTTGATATGCCCCAACTTCATGATGCAATGGATACAAGATCACTGGTAAGTTGATTTCTTAAGGAAAGAATAAGCCCTGGTTCATAAACAACAACAAAAAAGGAAACCTAACCATCTAAAAGTAATACTTGAATGTTGTCATGGTCTTGACATCCTAGTTTCTTGGGTTAGAAAGGCTCTTAAAAGTCTAACATTTCCTAGAACCAAAATGTTGGTATATTAATCCATTGTACCCAGTCTATTATACTTTCACATCTTGACCTTTTGTCTGAGGATTTTGCCTCTTCTCTTGTCCTGTATCACTTCATAGTCAGACCATATTATATTGCCTTGTCTCCATTCTATTGGTGGGGAGGGAAGAGGAGATGTAGGAACTATTGGAAGCTTAAGGGGATTAACACTCTCTCTCAAGAGGTAACTTCCTCACAATGCAGCTTCAATTTACAAGAGGTTTTTTGTTTTTTATTATATTTTTATTGATAGGAAGGGAGCGGGGGAGAGAGAAATAGAAACATCAATGATGAGTCATTGATCGGCTGCCTCCTGTACACCCCCTACTGGGGATCGAGNAGAGGAAGGGATCGGGGGAGAGAGAAATAGAAACATCAATGATGAGTCATTGATCGGCTGCCTCCTGTACACCCCCTACTGGGGATCGAGCCCACAACTCGAGCATGTGCCCTGACTGGGAATCAAACCGCCATCTCCTGGCTTGTAGGTTGATTCTCTACCTCTGAGCCACACCAGCCGGGCAACAACAGGTTTTTGTACCAAGGAATCTAGAGCTAAGTTCTATTTTCCCCCTCATTAAGGACAGTTCTTTAACAATGACAGACCTAATTAAAAAGGAAGAATTGTTCTTGAGTAATTGTAGCACCAGTTTTTGAGAGAAGATATTTTGAGAGACATGAGTAGGAAGGAGATAATTTTGATTTTTACATTTTTTTGAGGTTGAGGTTATGGGACATCCAAGTGAGATTTATCCAACAGAATGTTGGAAATGTGAGTCTCATGAAGAAAGTTCAGGACAAAAGGCAGATTTTTGGAAGAGGTAGTAGTTGAAGCTACGAGAGCAAATGAGCTCTACGGAGCTGAAAAAGAATAAAAGGCTGAGGACTAAGTTTGGAAGGCGATAGGAAAACCTGCATGACATGCAGGCATAAAACCAGGAATATTTCAAGTCAGTGTGCTCATCATACATTGTGTGAAAAATACTTAAAATACAATTCTGATATCCTGATTATTTCAGAATGAGGTATGCATGTGTGTGCCTTATGTAAGTGGGTTATATGGATATGAATGAGAGTAAATGAGCTCTGAAATATAAAATTTATCACAGAATTTGAAGACACTTTGTAACCATTAACATTTACATGGTACATAGTCTCCTGATTTGTGTTTTTGTGGGATTAATTTATTCTAATAAGTTATTGCTCTCTAGTACTTATGCAACATACCTATATGGATTAATAGAACCTATGGCATCTGCTGATGAAAATGTGACAAAATTAGAGAAAAGGCTAAGCCTTTTATAATCCTTTGGAATTATATTAAGGAAATACTTAAATACTTTAAAAAGAATAGACATTCTTATCTTTCTAATAAATTATTTTTCTCATTTTTAAGCTGAAGTCTTATCATTTTATCTCAATACTTCAGCATAGTACTACCCAGAAATTACTGATACTCTAATTTATATAAAACCTTACGTTTTTAAATTCACATCTCTTAATATGTTTTTAGATGATACACACTTTTTCTCGGTGTGTGCTATGCTGTGCTGAAGAAGTGGATCTTGATGAGCTTCTTGCTGCAAGATTAGTTTCTTTCCTAATGGATCATCATCAGGAAATTCTTCAAGTACCCCCTTACTTACAGACTGCAGTTGAGAAACATCTTAACTACTTAAAAAAGGGCCATGTATGTACATTAAGTCTTAAAATTCTCTGCATTAAGCGCTCTCTTTCCCAGAAGAGTGCCTGCACATTTTCCTTCCTCCAACCCCTCCCCATGCCCGCAGGTGTGTCACCTTTACCTTCCTCACTTCTAAGCTCCAAGGGCCCTTTCTCTGCCTTTATAACTTGTTTTCTAAGCCAATTTCTTTTATGAATTACTTCTTCTACCTCTGATTTTTCAAATAACTGTTCCCTTTTAGTTTGAAACCAACCAAAAAAATTCTCTGCATTAGTCAGCTGCAAGTGGCATACTCATCTTGAACTAGCCTCATCAGAAAGGGACACTTTATTAGCTCACATCAATAACCTCTAAAAATCAGGAATATAGACAGAATCTGGGGACTCAAATAGCAATAGGACTCTGTTTTCATACTTCCATCTTTTCTTTCCATTTTGGTCCTGTATTTAACAAATGGCCCTTCACATGATGGGAATATGGCTGATTAAAGCTCTTGAGTTACAAGCTTATGTTTGCAATCCAAAGGAAAAAAGGGCATCCCTCCATCTCCAATTTGAAAAGTTCTTAGTGTGGACTCTGTCCCCCTCTAGGTTAAATGCATATCCTTTGAGTGGTTGAGGGTGAGTAGGTTGGAGAGAGGACCTTGTTTTTCAAAAAAGGTCAGGATAGTGGGGGTACAGTGGGCAAGAACTATTACAAGGAGAGAAGGAATACAACTAACCCCTATGATTTATTTCTCTAGCCAGCAAATGTTATGGGCTCAGCCCATGCACTTGCACCTCAAAAACAGTAGAATACTTTTAACTGTTACAGTGTCAGAACATTCATGTTTTAAGAAAATACCACTTCAATTGTTATTGTTTTGTAGTTAATAAAATCCATGATGATAGCTACTTTTATTTAGCACTTCTTGTGTGTTAAACACTTTATACAAATTATTTCATATAATCCTGGGACATTTTACAGACCAAGGAAAGTTAAATAACTTACTGAATCAAAGCTAGTAGGTTGGTAGCAAAATAGTAAGTACTAAAACCCATCAAAAGAACACTTTATCAAATAGGAACGTGACCAGAATTAATAGACTTTGTATCATTTTGTTCACTACAGATTAAAAATCCTGGAGATGGACTGGTTGTTCCTTTGCCAACGTATTCATACTGTAAGCAGATTAGTGCTCAGGAGTTTGATGAACAAAAAGTTTCTACCTCTCAAGATGCAATTGCAGAACTTTTAGAGAATATTATTAAAAACAAGAGTTTGCCTTTAAAGGAGAAAAGGAAAAAACTAAAACAGGTAAGAGGGTGAGCAAGCTCTCAATTGTGTAAATATTTTCTAATATGCCATTGCTGATTATTATTTAATAACACTTAGAATTCAATTTCTCGTTTTAATATTTTGTATTTTAAATATTGGATATATAAGCTACATATGACTACCTGCCTGGTTTTACTCTTTATTTACCCTTAAATTTTAATAATAATAGGTACATTCCTTCTAGTCTTCTGTATGATTATAGTTTGGATTAGAGTGGTAAAACGATTATAAAATTTGGATTATATTACAAAACTGTTAGTGACTCATCTTTGCCATTTAGAATTTTTAGCTCTACATCAAGAACCAGTAGCCACATGATTCTGGTAAATTCAATTTCAGGTCTTAGACACTCAAAGAATTATGAAATTTACTAGATCCCTGTGACTTGCATAGGCTTTACCGGTGGGAACAAAGAAGATGTAGAGGTTAAGGGGAGATTTAGCAGAAGAGAATCCTAGAAAGTTAATGCTGAAATCTAAGAAATCTTGCAGTATACCTTTTATATATGAGAAAGCAGAGGGAGAAACAAGGATAAACTGAAAGATACTCATCTTTGTAATACATCTTTGAGAAAGGCACTGAATTCTTTTAAAATACTATATATTGGCTTCAGCTAGGATAATAATGTTAAATACCTTCTAAGTCCTTACCTCATTTTTAAGTTTCAGAAGGAATATCCACTGATATATCAGAAAAGATTCCCAACCACGGAGAGTGAAGCAGCACTTTTTGGTGACAAACCTACAATCAAGCAACCAATGTTAATGTTAAGAAAACCAAAGCATAGTATGAGATACTAACTGAATTACAAATAATACTTATGGAACTTAAGTAAATAAAGCCATATCTAAGAATCTGACTACTTTTTAAAAAGGAAGTCTACTTATTAGGGTTTTTTTCCTAAATAAAGCACAGTATAAAGAAGGTGCCAAAATATTTTTTATCAATGTGAAACTGCTAAGAAACTAGTGAATCCCAACTTAGAGAAAATAACAATAGGTGATACCGATATTTTAATGAGAAACAATTTTTTGTTTTTTTATACAACTATCTGAAAAGCTATGGTATATGCTAAAATTGTATTTACTTGAATTTTCACACTGACCAGGTGTTCAATAAGATTAAGCTGTAATTCTGTTTTTAAAAGGAAACTTATCAGCATGTGTGCTTATGGATATTAGCTTAAAGAATTAGTTGTTTAGGGTTTTGTTTCTAAGTTAAGAATGTGAAGAATGTTTGAAAATTCAATGAATGAATTCTCAACTGCTAAATATTGCACTCATGTATCGTTTCTACTTTTGATCTATTTATATATGTATGTGTTTTTAAAATATGTATATATAAGACTGGTTTGCCTTAAAAATTTATCCTGCTTCAGTCATTCAATTTTTCCAGTAAATAAGTATAAGGCAATCATGTATTCATTCAAAAGATATTTATTTAGCAACTACTATGAGCCTTTCATTATTTTAGGTATGGAGAGACAGTGATGAATAACCCAAAGTCTCTTCCTCTAAAGTATTTATTTTCTAATCAGGGGAGATGCACCTAACAGGTACTTAAAAATAACAGTACACCCCCCTGAAATCAAGTCATGGGGGAGTCCTTCAGCTGAAGACTGACGTCTTTGATTATGGAACAGTTCTCTAAGCTAGTATATTTCAAACTATTGCATATTAGAATCACCTGGAGAGTTTTTAAATAATACACGCTAAGGCCCTACCTTATACCAATTAAATCCAAATTTTGAGGGATGGTATATAGCAGCAATTTTCATGACATACATAAACTAATTACTAAAATTCTGTGTCACAACAAAAAGAATCTAATATTTTTTGCTGATCTGACCAAAAAGTGGGGTATAATTTTGATTCACTCACACTGGACGGCTATTGTTGTGTTGGCTGTNAAATCTAATATTTTTTGCTGATCTGACCAAAAAGTGGGGTATAATGTTGATTCACTCACACTGGACGGCTATTGTTGTGTTGGCTGTTGTCATTTTTTATTTGACAATTTAAGGGAAGAAAGGTCAGTGCCCGTGACTAAATTGTCAGATATTCCATGTTTTAAATTCTTGGGCCACACCGGTTGAAAATGGCTGGTATATAGGAATCAATATTTTTCAAACTTTCTACATGATTCCAGTATTTAGCCAACTTTGAGAATCAGTACTCAAAACCCTTTTTATAAATGTCAAGCAGGTGGCACACTGGCTTTTTTTTTTTATTATTATTATTATGTCTGTATTGATTTCCGAGAGAGGAAGGAAGAGGGAGAGAGAGAGATAGAAACATCAGTGATGAGAGAATCATTGATCAGCTGCATCCTGCATGCCCCTGACTGTTCCCCGCAACCCGGGCATGTGCCCTGACCAGGAATCAAACCTCAATCTCCTGGATCCTAGGTCGATGCTCAACCACTGAGCCATGCCCAGCCAGGCCACACTGGCTTTTTCATTAGAAGAAAATACCAGTATAAATATAAGGTTCTCATCTTAATGTAAGGTTCTCCAAATTTAGGTTTGATTGACTTGGAACAAACTTGAAGCAGTTTTTCTTCCCTGTTTTATTCCAAGATTGTTTAATATCCATTTCTTATGTGTAAAGATATACATAATGCCTGGGATGTAGTAAACACTTACTGTTCATTAACCGCTCTGATTTCTCAATGTAATGTCATACTATAAAATGATTATGTTCCATTTGAAATTACCATTTTTTATTAAAAATTTGGACAGAAAATTATAACTATCTTTTGCCCAGAAACCTTGTCTATGAAAGTATTGAACCAAATTAGAATTCTTTCCAAGGTGTTGGTGTGCTACAAGTTTTTCTGTTTAAAGGTGTATAATAATGTGAATTGTGTTGCATATTGAGATAAAAATTATTATGGGTTTTGTAACAATTTAATTTTGCTTTTGTGTCTATTTATTGCTATTAAATACAGAAACATTATAAAGACAGTGCACTTTCATCTGCATTAGTGTTGAGATTACAAAATAAATATGGTGTGACACCTTGGGAAACTTAAACTCTGACTTTCCTCATCTTTAAAATATGAATAATAACATATATTAACCAAGTTGTTAAAGTAATCTAAAGGCAATATATTTAAATCTTGAATTTAGCAAGCCTGTGCTCAACTTCTGAGTCCTTTTCTCGTTCCTTATAGTGAACTTAACAAGATCTCTGCTGAATAAAAGCCCTTTCCGCCCTAGCCGGTTTGGCTTGGTGGTTAGAGCGTCGGCCTAGGGACTGAAGAGTCCTGGGTTTGATTCTGGCCAAGGGCATGTACCTTAATTGTAGGCTCGATCCCCGGCCCTGGTCAGGTATATTGCAACCAATCAATGTGTCTCTCTCACATTGATGTGGGTTTTTTTTCTCTCTCTCTCCTACTCTCTGAAAAGTAATGGAAAAAATATCCTCGGGTGAGGATTAAAAAATAACTAAGAATTTATTTTCTAAGACCTGAAAAAAATATACGAAGTACATTTGTATCAAAGCCTAGCCTCAAATGCATCAGTTGATTTCTTAATTTCCCTTTCTTCTATAAGCAACTAGAAAACCAAAATATATGAAGCAACTGTTTTTGGACATTGAACTACAGATAATAAGAGACTGTGATCACTGAGAAAAGCAAAACAAAGGAAGTGAGCCCCCAGTTTACTGCCTGTGTAGGGAGGGGAAACAAAAATAAAGCCAAGTATCACAATGCATTAAAGGGCTAGCTAGAGATCAGAGTTCAGAATCACTGAGGGAGCTGCAAAACTAAGTTCCAGAGGTCTACAGGATAGTCTAGAGGTTTTGTTGAGTACTAATTGGTATAGGGCAGGGTGAAGGAAGTCCATTGAGTACTAATCAGCAAGGCCAAGGAATGAATGACTGGAAAGCAGAAAACGAAACAATCGCTGGACCTCACAGAGCTGGAAATAGTTCATGTTTTCACCAACCAGAATTGAGAGCCAGGACCTGAGGCATTGGATAGCTTCTTTAGAGGAGTTGAGTTGTGCTTTTGTAGTGGGGCCAAATTAGCTTTAGAATAAAAGCTACTGTGGATTCACCCGAATAAATCTCAAAAAACAAGCCTCAAAATGTTCATATTGTAACTTCCTGGGTGCCATAGCAAAGCCTAATACTTTAAAGAAACGCAACAAAATCCAGCATTCAGCAATAGGAATCACAATGTTCGGCATCCAACCAAAAATTACCAGACATGCAAAGAAACTATATATATCCCATAACCAGGATTTTTAAGTTTTATAAATATATTCTAGGCTATAAAGAAAATAATGAACATAGTGATGGAAATGGAAGACATAAAAAAATGATGTAAATAGAAATTCTAGAGATCAAAAATACAATACCTAAAATAAAAAATACGTGAAATGAAATTTAGAGCAAATTAGACAACAGCAGAAGAAAAGATCTGTGAACTTGAAAACAGCAATAGGAACTACCCAAAGTAAAGCAAAATAAAGAATAGAGGAAACAAAACTGGAAAAAAAAAAGACCCTCAGCTGTGTGAAAATATGAAATAGGAGCCTAGGAATGAAAGAAAAAGGGGAGAACAAAAATTATTGGCCAAAAATAATGGCTAAATTTTTTAAAATTGTGATAAAGACCATAAGCTCATAGAAGCTTAAGTAAGCCTCCAGTAAAAGAACCATAAAACTTCACCAGGGCAAATATAGTCAAGTTGCTAAAAACAAATGGTAAAGAAAAAAATATATGCATCCAGAGAAAAAAATATACAGAGGAACAAAAATAAAAATTATAGTAGACTTGTAAAAAACTGTAATCCAGGAAAAAAAAAAAAAGTAATATTATTTTAGATTTGCTATCTTGGCTGAGTGTTGGTGCCAGTTCACTATCAATAAAAGTTTTGGCAGGGACCACTGATACTCTACCAGCCATCAGTGATAGCTCCCTCATTACAAGGCAGCCATTGGTTGATGGAGTTCCAAAATTTTATTTTAGTTAGCTTCCTACGACTAGTCTTAGTTCTGTCTTAGGTTATGTTCTCCATAATACGGAGACAAATACTTGTGTATTTGAGGTTAGTGGGAAGTACACTTGGGAACAATACTTAGAAGAAAGTGATGAAGTTGGGATGGGGCAAAACAAAAAGTTGACCTGCAACACAGTGGCAGCAGAGGCCACAGCTGATCCCATAGGGGACTCTGGGTCTCTGATGGCCCTTCAGAATTGTCTCAAACTGAGGGAAGAGTTTGGGTCTTTTTACTTTTTAAACCAGTTATTGATTATGGGTTGATTCTAGAGAAGTATAAACTTGGGTGAAGCAACTCCCTTCAGCCAAGCACATTTCCTAAAGAGAAATGCAGTCAATATTACTGGTATCTGGGCAATGAATTATTCAGCATGGAAAGGGGATCTGCACAGAACACCACATATTCACTAAAAGGGATCCCTAGTATTATAACGAACAAAAAGAAGGGTTTGTGTCAATACGAAAGAGTTGCAGGTTATAAGAACCAATGTTTTAGATTAATTTTTCATTTTTATTGATTGCTCATAAAAGTAATGCCTATTTATTATAGATGACTTGGAAATGTTTAAATCACCTATAATCTTATCAATCACATACAATCATATGAAAATCTTGAAGTATTCTGTCTCCAAAACTGTGTGCCTCTCAAAGACCCAAGAGAAAGTAGCTCTTTTTTGTCTTCCAAAGCATGTGTGATCAGCTAGTATTAGAGATTAGCAATAATTTTTCTGAAAAATTTATAATGAAGCTAAAATACAGTGAAAAAACCTGCATTCTTTTTCATTATGCACAATGTCTCACTTTTTTATTTGTAGGTTTTCATCAGCTTTTTATTTACAACTTGGAAATTCTAGAGACTGCATCTATCTTTAGATTTTAGCAGTCTCAATCTTTCTCCTGACTTAAGTGATCTGGTTTGTCAGGCAATACCTTATGCTCAAGCAGAGTCCACATTTCTTTCTCTTCCCCAGCTTAATTGATATTCATGTGCCCTCTCCACTCAGATTTGGAATCCACTTGTTGCTAGGCTGAATGCTATTAATCATTACAAACTCATTGTCCATTAAATCGGAAATTAAATTTTAACATAAATTGGAAGAAATTACACAATTCAAAAATCACTCAAATGTCAGTTGAAAACTAACTTTTGGAATCAGTGTTGTGTAATTCCTAAAGTGACTCTGTATATTTCTTTTCTAAGAAAGCTACTAGTAACTTAGATTGGCTG